TTAGGCATTTGAGCTTATAACGCTAATAAATGTATCAAGCAACTGTTTCTCCAATCTGAAGCTTTAATCAACAAGAAATTATTCGGGTTGCGTTTGCTGCCTTTGTTTGATTTTAAATGAGTTTTTGAGTTCATTTAGGGGTTTTCAAGCATTGAAGCACAAGCAAAACCTCAGGTCTAAGCTGGTTATTTATCTTTAGTTATAGAGTCAGAAGACAAGTAAGACTGCATGTACTTAAAGCCAGATCAATTATTTAATGCTCATGGGGTTTTCCAGCTCAGTTGTTTCACTGAAGAATCAGCTTTGTCTCAGATGTTTCTCTGAGAGGGAAATAATGCATTAGGAGAAATAATCAAACACACATGAGTCAGTAGTAGTTAGAGTATAGAGCTATAAAACTGAGATTTCTAGGCTCTTTATTCTCAAAATAAAAACAACTTGAGATTTGAAACAGATCTCTTGTATGACTTCAGCAATTACTGCTAAAATCATCAATAAACTATGTAAGTGACATTTAAGATTTAAATTTTACTTTACCTTTAAATTTAATTTTACGTCTAAAATACGTCTTTTAATTAGATTTTTAATCGCTATATATATTTTTTTTTATAATTTCCTAACAAATATCAGTAACACTTTACAAAAAGGCCCCATAAAAGTTAATGCATTACCTAAAATTAACTAACAATGCCCAGTTCGTTTGTTACAGTATTTATTAATCTTTGTTAACGTTAGTTATTAACAATACAGCAGTTCATTGTCAGTTCAGGCCAATAAAATAATATTAACAAATATAATCAAATCTCTTTTTGAAAATGTTTTACATTTAAAAAGCAATTTTGCACTTACTTTCTTTTCAAAACAAATATGTGTCCCTGCAGCACAAAAGCAGTCTTAAGTCGCTGGGGTATATTTGTAGCAATAGCCAAAAATACATTGTATGGGTCAAAATTATTGAGTTTTCTTTTATGCCAAAAATCATTGGGATATTAAGTAAAGATCATGTTCCATGAAGATATTTTGTAAATTTCCTACCGTAAATATATTAAAACTTAATTTTTGATTAGTAATATGCATTGCTAAGAACTTCATTTGGACAACTTTAAAGATGATTTTCTCAATATTTAGATTTTTTTGCACCCTCAGATTCCAGATTTTCAAATAGCTGTATCTCAGCCAAATATTGTCCTATCCTAACAAACCATACATCAATGAAAGCTTATTTATTCAGACTTCAGATGATGTATAAATCTCAATTTCTAAAAATGGACCCTTATGACTGGTTTTGTGCTCCAGGGTCACATTTTATAGTATTATTTTGTCATCTAGTTCTTTATTCCTGGTTCTGGAGAGCCTCTTTCCTCCAGAGTCTAATTAAAAGCATCTGAATCAACTAGTTAAGGGTTTAATTGTTAATTACAGACAGGAGTGTTGGATCTAAACTCTGCAGGAAGGTTTGTAAGTGTGAATGTTGTAAATGTCCAATGGCTGTTCAGAGTTGTTGTGTGTGAAATGAAAGCAGTCTTACTTCTCTGTGTCGAAGCTCTCCTCCCACATACTGTTGGCCGCGGCGTCGGTGCCGATGATGCTGGGGTCAGAGCTCAGGTGCGAGGAGCGACTCTCAGCGGACGAGCGCTCGGAGGCCATGAGAGAGACAGACAGACAGACAGACGGACGGACGGACGGAGGGAGAGAGAGACGGAGTATGAACACACGGCCAGACTCACGGAGTTAAAGAGCACTGACGCTCAGCACTCGAACCGACAGCAGACAGATGGAGCGGACAGCTGAGCGCACACACGCAGCTGTTTCTGTGAGGAGACAGACTGATAGATATGTGACCCTGGACCACAAAAGTCATAAGGTTCAATTTGTTAAAATTGTTAGGATAGGACAATATTTGGTCGAAATACAACTATTTGAAAATCTGGAATCTGAGGGTGCAAAAAAATCTAAATATTGAGAAAATCATCTTTAAAGTTGTTCAAATGAAGTTCTTAGCAATGCATATTACTAATCAAAAATTAAGTTTAGATATATTTATGGTAGGAAATTTTCAAAATATCTTTATGGACCATGATCTTTACTTAATATCCTAATGATTTTTGTCATAAAAGAAAAATCAATAATTTTGACCCATGCAATTTATTGTTGGCTATTGCTACAAATATATTTTGTAAATATACCCCAGCGACTTAAGACTGCTTTTGTGCTCCAGGGTCACAGAAACTCCTGCATATCTCAATATCTCAATGCCAAAGTCTGCATCAAAAGTCAGAGATCTCAGTATTAGCTCAAATGTTTCTCATCAAAGTCAATGATTTGAGCTGCTTTCCATTCATTTTATAACTTTATACTCTTACTGTATGACTTCAGTGACTTACTGTATGAACTATTGACTCATTTTTGTTTCTATTTTTAGGATGCATATCTGAGAAAAAGAGTTTATGAAATTTTATAAAGCAATATATGTATTGTGTGAGACCTCACTTTTGTCATATACACACATTTAAAATTATATTAACATGTATTTAGAATTTTATAAAATTATAATTTTTTTCATTTTATTATATACGGTGCATTTTTATTATATAATTGTGTATGACAATTATAAAATGTAAAAACAATTATGAAGTGTGTGTATGCAATGCGCATTTATATATTGTAAAATTTAATTTATAAAATTATACAATTGTATGTTTTTTAATTTTATTATATAATATGGATTGGATGAGACTTATACATGTGTGTGTCTAAAAGTGTCATGCAATGTATATTTTGTTATAAAATTTAATTTTATAAAATTACATGTATTATTTGACTATATCATTTTAATGTATTTCATTATTTGGATTTGTAAGTATTATATAAAATATTATATAATACACACACACACATATATATATATATATATATGCATTTTTATTATATAATTGTGTATGACAATTATAAAATGTAAAAACAATTATGAAGTGTGTGTATGCAATGCGCATTTATATATTGTAAAATTTAATTTATAAAATTATACAATTGTATGTTTTTTAATTTTATTATATAATATGGATTGGATGAGACTTATACATGTGTGTGTCTAAAAGTGTCATGCAATGTATATTTTGTTATAAAATTTAATTTTATAAAATTACATGTATTATTTGACTATATCATTTTAATGTATTTCATTATTTGGATTTGTAAGTATTATATAAAATATTATATAATACACACACACACATATATATATATATATATATATATTTGTTCATTATTCTTCTTGAGAAATATAGAAACTGCTGTGATCTGTGATATGCTGTGGGCTCCAGTGTTTTGAGAGTAATCCGTCTCACTTTACTAACCATCAGCTCAGGTGCGGGTGACAGTCATTACCGGTTACTAGGCGACCAAAGCCCTGCCATTGTACCATCAACAACTTTAATATGACAGATAAAGTCGATTTAATGAGATCCAAACAGACTGGCTAAATGCCAACGTGTATGGATTCGTAAGGTGGTATTTAAGTACTAAATTCAACGTTTGCTTCAAGCCAGACTTTTGAGGGCAGTTCAAAAAAATACAAATTAAAAATAATAATTTTTATGTCAAGTATGTGACCCTGGAGCACAAAAGCAGTCTTAAGTCGCTGGGGTGTATTTGTAGCACTACCCAACAATACATTGTATGGGTCAAAATTATACATTTTTCTTTTATGCTAAAAATCATTAGGATATTAAGTAAAGATCATGTTCCATGAAGATATTTTGTAAATTTCCTACCGTAAATATATTAAAACTTATTTTTTGATTAGTAATATGCATTGCTAAGAACTTCATTTGGACAAAAGTGAAGTCTCACACAATACACATATTGCTTTATAAAATTGCAACTCTTTTTCTCAGACATTTCCTAAAAATAGAAACAAAAATGAGTCAGTAGTTCATACAGTAAGTCACTGAAGTCATACAGTAAGAGTATAAAGTTATAAAATGAATGGAAAGCAGCTCAAATCATTGACTTTGATGAGAAACATTTGAGCTAATACTGAGATCTCTGACTTTTGATGCAGACTTTGGCATTGAGATATTGAGATATGCAGGAGTTTCTATTTGCTCTGCATTTAGTCCTTTAAACAGCTAGGAGAAATGTACATAGCAGATATGTGACCCTGGAGCACAAAAGCAGTGTTAAGTCGCTGGGGTATATCTGTAGCAATAGCCAAAAATACATTGTATGGGTCAAAATGATCGATTTTTCTTTTATGCCAAAAATCATTAGGATATTAAGTAAAGATCATGTTCCATGAAGATATTTAGTAAATTTCCTACCGTAAATATATCAAAACTTAATTTTTGATTAGTAATATGCATTGCTAAGAACTTCATTTGAACAACTTTAAAGATGATTTTCTCAGTGTTTAGATTTGTTTGCTCCCTCAGATTCCAGATTTTCAAATAGCTGTATCTCAGCCAAATATTGTCTGATCCTAACAAACCATACATCAATGGAAAGCGTATTTATTCCGCTTTCAGATGATGTATAAATCTCAATCTCGAAAAAATGCCCCTTAAGACTGGTTTTGTGCTCCATATTGATCTTAAGTTGTAAATGTGAATGTGATTGGAACATGTTTGTGTTTTATAAGGATTTTAAAACACATTCTAGTCTATTGAAATTAGATATGTAACGTTATTTATTAAATAAATAAATGATTTTAAACTTCCGTTTACAAAATTAAATCCAGTCTATAGCGCTATGTAATAAAATGCAGATACATTGATGAGATGCAATAGAGATGCAATTGCTTTCTGGCGATTTCCCAGGTGAGAAAGCAAAGAAACGTGGCAGTGTAACGCCCACATCTCTAAAATGCCAGTTGATGTTTTGGAAAAATGAGATGCACGTCAAACTAAATCGATACGTGAGCTGTATTCCGTCCGTGCGTGCGTGCGTCATCCTCTGCAGAACTGAGCGTCGTCTCGTCATGTATTCAAGCGTGAGAGGGAGCACACTTCACAGCTACAGCATCCGCGAACTGAAGCTCATTCAGAGCAGCACAGCGTCTTGGCCATGTCTGGGTTCGGTATGGGAGGCATTAAATAGTGAGTATGATTGTGCGTTAAATTTATTAAGAACTCGTTTGTGTAGTTCGTTAATAACGGATAGTGTTTACTTGTGTTGTGGTGTTGTGTGTAGTTAAGGGCGTCGCATGTAAATTAGAATCTCTGAACCGAATTAAATGTTACATTATATTAATGTAAACGGAGAATTAAAACCGAAATACTGAACTAAAATATAGAGAAGAATAAGAGATTTTTTTTTTTTTTTTTCAACAGCCGCAGCCTAACCTAGTTAGACAGGTCTGTTTTTCATGGTTTTGGATAGGCTACTTCTTAAACTGGCCTAAATTAGTTTTTTCTCTTTTCTTTATTTTTTTTCCAGCAGGGAATTTGAGCATTTAAGTTTATTATTAATTTATGTAGTTTCTTTGGTTCTATTTTCACAAGTGGCACATTTTTAAAAACTGTTTGCACGTAAAACAGCCATCATTCAAAACTTTCTTCCATTAGGGCTTTAAGTGTTGTAATTGTTCTCTTGCGAAAATTAACCATGGTATTATTATAGTAAAAGCGTAGTAACTTTTTTGGCGTATTGATTAACATTTGTATAACCAGTTTTACTACAAATACCATGGTTAAACTATGGTTAGTGTAGCAAAACCATGGATAATTTGTGGTTACCATGATTTAGCTATAGTAACCATGTTTTTTTAGTTTAATTGAGATAAAACCATGATTATTTTTTCGTAAGGGTTGGTCACCACAGTGCAACAGGATTATCTTTTCAGTATGGTAAATGTACAGATCAGTTCAATATGCATGATAAATGTAGCCTACAGTTGTTACTCTAGGAGTGCATTTACAGTACCTAACTGATCTGACATAAAATACATAGTTTCCATAATCCTGTCTTTCCAATGTCAATTAAAATGTTTGATCAATGAACACATGACAATGAAAATTAAACACTTGTGAAAATAGCATTAAAGCCAGAAAAAAATGTGTCCTTAAAATATAATTTATTTTTTTTTAATAAGGTTTATTATTTTATCAAAATATTTTTAAAAATGTGTTGTTGTTGTTTCAACACAGATGTGTCACATCCACAACTAGGACATCACTAAATCAGATTGTGACTATTAGATCCTTCAACTATTATTGGTTTCATGGAATCCCGACCTGCTTTCCTTCATTCCCCTGGAAATAATGAAGCCAAGGCATGCTGGGAATCTGAGTCCCAGCACAGAAAGGGAAACCACTCTCCTGGAACCAGGACAAGACTTGGAGAGAATCATGGGATTGAAGTACAAGCTAAAGAGCAGGAGGAGAGATCCACCTCCAGGGAATCCGCCGGCCATGTGAAAACACTAAAACACAATGCATTAGCCACCGCTGCTATTCCAGCCGCAGAACTGCTCCCTGCATCCACAGCTGCATCAAAAATACCCACCATGCACTCAGCGACAACCAAGCAGGTCACTGCGGGAAAAGCCAGTTCAACTGCTACGACTAAAACGGCATCTAAAAAAACAACCAAAACAACTGCACTTGGAGTGGAGGTCTTAAGTTTATCCAGCCAAACTGGACCCAGTGGGACAAAACCAAGATCCCCAGATGTGAGCCATGAGAAGAAGCTACAAGCGAGTGCAAAAGCATTTCCCAATAACATGCAAAAAACTGCCTCAGCATCTCATATCATGGGCTCCACAGACTCCCCACAAAAGACGCTTCAAAAAACATCGTCTGCTTCCCAGATTTCCTCAACCGACTCTCCCAAGAGTATCAACCGGACTCTCTCGCACATTCCTAGAGCTACGTCCAGCCCCAAACTTAAACCGCCCTATCCTGCGTCTCTCAAAGTGGACAAAACCGAGCGGAATAGAAGAGTCACAAGCAAAGAGGGACTGCTGTCGACGAATTCTCCAAAAGATAAAATGATTGACATATTGGTGGAGAGCAACCTGCAACTGGGGACGAAAGCAGCAATGGGGGAGAGCCCTCAGGGACGAAAGGAGCAAGAGATAAAGAGCGGGAACGAGAGAGAAGCAGAGATGCTAAGAGACGAAATAAAAGACGCTGTCCTTCTGGGACACAGTTTTGGAGGAAGTGACGTCATCTCAAACTTGAAAGGTTGCAAAGAAATGTCCTCTCTGTCATTGTATAGTGCCGAAAAGCTGAAAGAGCCAGAAGACAAGACTGACGCATATGTCATGACCCAAGAGAGACATGCAGGAAAGAGTCAGAGGCTCTGGGAAAAGAAGGGAAGGGAGGAAGCAGAGAGCGAGGAGAAGAGGAACACAGGAGAGAGAAAGGGGGAAGCTGAGGTTAAGAATGTCAAAATGGCGACTGAGGTCAAGAAGGATACTGTAATGAATGAAAAGAATAAGATTCCGACACCCAAGAACTTGAAGGATGCAGTGACAATGACAGTCGAAGGTTTCCCAGTGACCGAAATGAAGGATGCAGCACTGCAGGCGGATCTGAAACTGGTGTACGTTGATGTCGAGGTCCAGGCGGTTGTGGAGGTCTACAGCAGATCCACAGTCACGAGCCCAGTCCACAACGTTCAATCTTGTCAGTTGAACCATGAGATTGACCTCAACTCTAAAGCTGGCCTGCACAATGAGCTCAACCCTGACAGCAACTCGGACTCTGATTGGTTGCCGACTGTAGCCTTACTGGACCCCAAACCAACAGGAGCCAAGCCTAGATTTCTAGGTCCACCCCCTTACAAGTCTCCCAATAGCCAGAAACCACTTCAACACATCTGTCAAATAGAGATTGAGCTTCGTAGCCAGTTTCCGCAACCTCTCGGTTCGGTCCCCCCCCAAGTAACTGTCAGTGAATTTGACTCAACTGGTCAATTGTTGCCCGAGGTGGCGGAGAAGACCTCTGGGGACTCCTTGAAGCCACTCAACTCTGGGGGAACAGCAGGGGTGGAAGGAGAAAAGGAGGAGAGCGGTGCACCTCAGGAGATCGTCTGGGATGAGCAGGGAATGACGTGGGAAGTCTATGGAGCGTCGCTGGATATGGAGTCCCTGGGATTTGCCATCCAGAACCACCTGCAGTGTAAGATCCGTGAACATGAGCGGCGTATCGGCACGCTCCGGAAGTCTATATGCCTCTCCGAACAATCGCCTGGAAAGGGCAGGACAGGAAAGAAGAAGAGGAACGTCTTTAGGTCGCTGTTTGCTGGATCTAAGTGCTGCTCAAAACCACGACCCAAAGAGGAAGCAGAAAAGTGACTCATTGTTATGTAAATATATTTTGTAGATGTGCTACACTGGAGAATGTATAGCAAAAATGTCTAAAAATATGTAGCCTACTGTTGCTTCATGGAAGTGTTAGACCAGGAGTCACCAGACTCGGTCCTGGAGGGCCAGTGTCCTGCAGAGTTTAGCTCCAACCCTAATCAAACACACCTGAAC